AAAGAAAGAAAGAAAGAAAGAAAGAAAGAAAGAAAGAAAGAAAGAAAAGAGTTTGTGGAGTAAATTCCCACAGTTAGTTAAAACACTTTGGTCCTATTCCTTGCCTCCAGACACCTGTGCCAACATCATTCCCCATCAGCCCCTGACACCTCGCCCTCCATGCCTCAATTTCCACACACCCAAAAACGTGCTTGCTGAGGCGAAGCCAAGGGGGACATTTCCCTCAGCTCAAAGGATGAGGAGTATTCCTTCTCATTACCTAAGCAGCTTGCATATTCAAGGTCAAGTCATGGGAGAGAGAATGAGGGTCACTCAATTATAGAAAAAAGATACACACATACAAAGCTTTCTCTCTCCTTCCTTCCTTCCTTCCTTCCTTCCTTCCTTTCTTTCTTTCTTTCTTTCTTTCTTTCTTTCTTTCTTTCTTTCTTTCTTTCCTGTTGTAGTGCTTTCTTATATTTCACCGTTGGGTTGGATACTCTGCAGAGTGTGGACTGCTCTGCAGCACAGTCCCAGAAGGCAAGGAGAATCCATTCTGGGGGTTCCTGAGGCTCACCAAGGCTTTCCTGTGACCTGGCCTCAAACAGCCCAGCCATAGATGGGCTTCCAGCCACCCTTCTGTCCCTGCAGCTGGGCCCCAGGTATCCCAGAAACTCGATGCCTGGCAGGTCCAGGGCTGGTGGCATTTTATCGATCAGGCCGCCAAGGTTATGAAACCTCTCTTGCAATTTTAGTGCCAAATATATTTATTGAAAACCAGCTGCGTGCCAGGCGCCTTGAGGGCTGAGAAATCAATGAGGCCTTCCGGATTTCTCTGGGTGCAAGGTGGGGACGGAGGCACTACTAGCCACAAACCCTGCAAGACCCAGGAGACAGAGTAAGGAATCTTGTTGGAGGAAGTTGCAAGCAGGATCGTAATTACGGGAAGTGTCAAGGCAAGTGAGTTTTGAGTTGTAGGGGTTTACCTCGACAACAGGAAGTAAAGAAAGGCCTAAGGTCAAGGCCATAGAGGGTGACCCACTGTCCCAGTGTCTGCACGGCTCTTTAAAGGGGAAAAAAAAAACAGATGAACTTGAGGCTAGGCAGATGAGTTGGGAGTCTCGGAGGATTCACCAGCAGAGGAGCTGCTCCGTTTAGACTATTGAATCTCTCACGTTTATAACCTGTTTTTGTTATTGTTTGTTCTGTTTAGAAGCTGTTTTGGTTTTGTTTGTTTGTTTGTTTGACTCGGGAGATGGCGACAGGGCCAACGTTAGCAAAAAGTCTACAGCACTTTGCAAGGAACAGGTAAAGCTCACGCGCCAGCTGCTCCATCCACTTTGCAGGAAACTGAAGAGGTCCGGAAAAGCAGACCCGAGAAGAAACACGGAACCGTCCAACCTCAGAGAGTGATTCCCGTCCAGCAGCGCCTTTCTGGCCCGTTAGATTTCTGCCGCTAGACGTGATCGAAACTGCTGAGCTGTGCTTCTGAGGTGTGTACTCTAGGCTTGGAGAGTTGCTTTAGAGACAAGTGTCGTTTTCCCATCCCCCAAATGCTGTGGTCCGCGGGGCTGATCCATCCTGGTACCGGGAGTCGTGAGCTGGGCCTGGCCCGGTTGAGGTTCCCACGGCAACCGCAAGCCGCTCCCGGCGGCGTCTCCCCAGTGACGAGGCGCAAGCCAAGACCCGGAGCCCGGATTTCTGGAGCCGAGCCACGGAGCGAGGCTGGAGCGAGATCGCGGCTGGCCAAGTGAGGAGGGGAGCGACGCTGCCTTTCGTCCTTGCCCTTGGCATCAGGAGGGCGTCCAGCTAAAGCCACTCCTACTCATCCCGGCCTCAGTGTGGCCCCTGCTGCCCTTCTGGGGAGTCCTTCCCTGCTTTCCAGGTGGGGAGACGGAGGACTGGGCTGAGCCCCAGTGTCAGTGGGTGAAGTGGGCAAAGCCAGGCCCTGCCCCTT